TTGAGTAGAACTCCATTGAGTATATGTACCACATTTTTCATTAACCATTCATCTGCTGAGGGACATTTAGGTTGTTTTCATTTCTTAGCTATTGTGAAGAGAGCATCAACAAACATGGTTGTATAAGTATCTCAGTAGGATGAGTCCTTTTAGTATATCTCAAAGGAGTGATATCACTGGATCATATGAGAGGTTCATTTTTTGTTTTTGAAGGTTCTCCACACTGCTTTCCATAGTGGTTGCATGACTTTGCATTCCCACCAGCAGTGAATGAGTGTTCCTCTTTCTCTACATCCTCTCCAGCATTTAATCTTTCCTTCTCTTGATCTTTGCCTATCTGACTGGAGTAAGATGGAATCTTAGAATATTTCTTATCCACATTTCTCTAATAACTAAGGGTGTTGAGCACTTTTTAAAGTGCTTCTTAGCCCTTTTTATTTCTTCGTTTGAGAACTCTCTGTTTAGGGCTATTGCCCATTTTTTTTAAATAGAGTCATTTATTTTCTTATTTCTTACTTTTTGAATTCTTTGTATATTTTGGATATTAATCCTCTATCAGAACTGTAGGTGGAAAAGATTTTTCTCCCACTCAGTGGGTTTCCTCTTCATTTCCTTGGTTGTTTATTTTGCTGTTCAGAAGCTTTGTATCTTAATGAGGTCCCACTTGTTGATTGTTGACCTTAGTGCCTGAGCAGCTATGTCTTATTTAGAAGGTGTGTTTCTTACACCTATGTCTTGGAGGTAACTGCCAATGTTTTCTTCTAATAGTTTCAGAGTTTCTGGTTTTACGTTGAGATCTTTGATCCATTTGGAGCTGAAATTTGTGCAAAGTGAAAGATAAGGATCTAGTTTCATTCTTCTGCAAGTAGAGATCCAGTTTTGCCAGCATCACTTGTTGAAGATGCTGTCTTTTCTCCATTGTGTGTTCTTGGCACCTTTGTCAAAAATCGATAGCTGAAATTATGTGTACTCAGGTTTGGGTCATCAATGGTGTTCCATTGATCTATGCGTCCATTTGTGTCATTACCATGTTGGTTTTATGACTATAGCTCTGTAATCTGAGATCTGGCAGGGTGATTCCCACCCCACCCCACCTCCACCGCCCCAGAATTGTTCTTTTGCACAGGATTGCTTTAGATATCCAGGGTCTTTTGTGATTCCATATGAATTTTAGGATGATTTTTTTCTAGCTCTGTGAAGAATGTCATGGGTATTTTTATTGGCATTGCATTGACTCTATAGATCGCTTTTGGTAAGATGGTCGTTTTCACAATATGAATTCTTCCAATCCATGAGCATGGGAGGTCCTTCCATCTTCTGATGTCTTCCTCAATTTCTTTGTTTAAAGATTTTCATTGTTATACATATTTTTAATGTTTTTGGTTAGGTTTATTCCTAAGTTTTCTGAGGCTATTGTGAACAAGAGGGTTTCATGAATGCTTTCTCCAATTGCTTGGTATTGGTATATAGAAGGGCTTTTGTAAGTTGATTTTTGTTACCTGCCACTTTACTGAAAGGATTAATAATTTCTAAGTTTTCTAATGGAATATGCAGGATATCTTATGTTTAATATCATAGCATCTGTAAAAAGGGATAATTTGGCCTCTTCTTTTCCAATTGGTACTCCTTTAATTTCCTGCTCTTGTCTTATTGCTCTTGTTAGAGTTTCAAGCACTATGTAGTTTGATAAGTCCTTTTTGGTTTGATGTAATGATGGAAGCAGTTATTTGTGTGTTGGCAATTGTTTTTGGGATAGCTTTTTCTAGTCAAATTAGGTCTATTAGGTTTGATGCTATGTTTTGGCTTATAGTTAGGCTTTTGACTGGTAATAGGCGGTGGATAATTGATGGAAAGTATCCTAGCAGTGTGGTGAATTGATGTATGTCTGTATGTGGTTTGCAAGTATTTTGTTCAGAATCTTTGCATCTATGTTGACTAAGGATATGAGTCTATGGTTTTTTTTATTGTGTCTTTACCTGGTTTTGCTATTAGAGTGATAATAGCTTTGTAAAAGGAGCTTGGGAGTTTTCCTCCTGTTTCTCTCTTTTTGAATAATTTAAGTAGTAGATCTTCGATTGCCTGGTAGAATTCTGCTGTGATTCCATCTGGGTCTGCCCTTTTTTATTTGTTATGGGTCTGTTTAAGCTGTTGATTTCTTCTTGCTTTAACCTTGGTAGTTTCCATGAACTTAGAAATTCATCCATTTCTTTTATATTTTCAAATTTAATAGAGTATATAGGTGTTTAAAGTATTACAATATTCTGGATCTTTGGGGTGTCTGTTGTGATGGTTCCCCTTTCATCTCTGATTTTGTTAATTTGGATATGCTCTTTCTTTCTTTTGGTTAACTGAGCTAAGGGTCTCTCTAGCTTATTTAATTTTTCAAAGAACCAGCTCTTAATTTCATTGATTATTTTCATTGATTTCTTTGTTCCTATTTCATTAATTTCTGCTCTGATTTTTCATTTTTCTTCTCATCTACTAGAAGTCCCTTTAAATGTTTAAAGTAAATGTTAGCTTCTACTAAAAGTGTACTTTGTATATTCCTAGGATTATTTCATACACACACACACACACACACACACACACACACACATATCTGGATTTGGGAAGAATTGAGAGATTAATGACAACTTCCAATCCTTGAACATGGTAAAACTACCCATTAGCTTCAAGCTTCCTTAATTTCTATTGGTAATATTAGCTTATGAAGTGAGAATTGTTAGAGTTATGACTCCTAAGAAGGATGCCATTCTCTAATCCCCAGGATGCTGACACTGTTGAGTAACCACTCTTGTAAATGTGCCCATGGAAGGAACTCTGTACATGTAATTAAGGATAGTAGTTGGTACACATTAAAATAAAGAGATTATCTTGGAATATTCAGATAGACGCAAGTAAGCTCGTTAACCTTTAAATGCAGAGGCATTATTTCAGGTCAGGAGTTATATCGTCTTTTAATCCTTTCCCGTTTATTTTCTTCTTCTTTGCTCTACAGACTTTAAGTATCAATTTTTACCTCAATTTTTGCCTCACTTTTTCTTCATCAATGTGTTATGTGTTCTACCGTGTGTTCATATTTTCAGGTATCGTTCACTTCCTTCCTCTGTAGTTTTCATTATCATCTTTATGACATACATGTTTATATTTGTAGCCTTTGTAGACAACGTCATGCTTTGATGGTAGATGATTACTTAGTGATGGATGAATGAGATTACAAAATGAATTCTTGTGTGTTCTGTGACATTTCCCGGGTAGGGAAGTGTAATCTGGTCTAGTTTTCTCTAACTTATATCTATTAATCTTCTAGAGTTACTGTAACAAAGTACCGTAGACTGAGTGTCTTAAAGAGCAGGAACTTACTTTCTGACTGTTTTGGATACTACAAGGTCCAAGATGGAAGGACAGGCAGGCCTTGTTTCTCCTTTGGCTTCTCTGTTGTCCTACCTCCGGGTGGCTTCACAAGTCTTTTCTTTCCTGAGCGCAACACTGGTGAGTTCCTGCTCTCATCAGAACACTGGCCATGTTGGATTTGGACCCAGCCGTATGAACTCATTCGGCTTTAATTGCCTC